TCACACAGCTAGGAACAGACAGTCTGGGAGGTTCCTGCAGGACATTGCAGGTGACGTCTTGATGCAGGTGGTTGATGATCCAACAAGGGGAGGGGCGCTGCTAGACCTGATACTAACAAGTCTAGTGGGAAATGTGAAGGCTGGGGGCAGTCTTGGCTGCAGTGACCGCGAGATGATGGAATTCATGATTCTGCGAGGAGGAAGCTGGACAAGAAGTAGGATTGCAACCCTGGACTTCAAGAGAGCCAACTTTGACCTCTTCAGGGAGCTCCTTGGAGGAATCCCCTGGGCAAGGGTCCTAGAAGGAAAGGGGGTCCGGGAGAGTTGGCTGATATTCAAACACCATTTTCTCCAAGCTCTGGATCGGTGCATTCCAATAAAAAAGAAGTCAAGCAAGGCAGGCAGGAGATCTGCATAGATGGGCAAGGAGCTGTTGGGTACACTTAATGAGAAAAAGAGTGTGTAGATAATGTGGAAGAAGGGCCAGGCCGCATGGGAAGAATATAGGAACATTGTCAGAGAATGCAGGGATGCAATGAGGAAGGCCAAGGCCTGTTTGGAATTAGAGCTAGTGAGAGATGTCAGGGGCAACAGGAAGGGCTTCTGTAAATGCATCAGCAGGGAAGAGGAAGACTAGGGAAAATGTTAGACCGCTACTGAATGGGGAAGGTGCCTTGGTGACGGAGGATACAGAGAAAGCAGAGTTGCTAAATGCCTTCTTTGCTTCTGTCTTTACTGCTAAGGCTAGTCCCCATAAACTACTGAGCCTGGAGACAAAGAACAAGAGAGAAGAGGACTTTCCGCTGGTCAGAGATTATTTAGGCAAACTGGACACCCATAAATCTATGGGCCCAGATGGGATGCACCCAGGAATGCTGAGAAAAGTGGGGGGGGTTATTGCTCAGCTGCTCTCCATCATCTTTGAGAGGTCATGGAGAGCAGGGGAGGTGCCGGAGGACTGGAAGAAAGCCAACATCACTCCAGGCTTCAAAAAAGGCAAGAGGAAGGAGCCAGGAAACTACAGACTGCTCAGCCTCACTGCCATCCCTGGAAAGGTGATGGAGCAGCTCATCTTAGAGACCATCAGTAGGTATGTCGAGAAAATAAGGTGATCAGGAGTAGCCAGCATAGATTCACCAAGGGGAAGTCATGTTTGACAAATGTGATAGCCTTCTACGATGAGGTGACCAGCTGGGTGGAGGACAGGAGAGCCATGGATGTTGTCTCCCTTCATTTCAGCAAGGTTTTTAACACCGTCTCCCGTAACATCCTCATAGGGAAGCTCAGGAAGTGTGGACTGGATGATTGGACAGTGGATTGAGGACTGGCTGGATGGCAGAGCTCAGAGGGTGGTGATAAATGGGGCCGAGTCTGGTTGGAGGCCTGTGGCCACTGGTGTCCTGGAGGGGGTCAGTGGAGTGGCTGACACTCCCAAGGGCTGTGCTGCCATTCAGAGAGAGACCTAGACAGGGTGGAGAGTTGGGCAGAGAGGAACCCTATGAGATTCACAAGAACAAGTGCAAGGTCCTGCCCCTGGGGAGGAATAACCCCAGGTACCAGTACAGATAGATTAGGGGTTGACCTGCTAGAAAGCAGCTTCGTGGAGAGGGATTTCGGAGTCCTGGTTGACAACAGGTTAACCATTAGTCAGCAATGTGACCTTGTGGCCAAGAAGGCCAGTGGGATCCTGGCCTGCATCCGGAGTGTTGCCAGCAGGTCGAAGGATCCTCCCCTTCTACTCAGCTCTGGTCAGGCCGCACCTGGAGTATTGTGTGCAATTCTGGGCTCCCCAGTACAAGAGGGACATTGAACTTCTAGAGAGGGGCCAGCAGCGAGCTAAAAAGATGATTAAGGGACTGGAGCATTTGCCATATGACGAAAGACTAAGCGAGCTGGGCCTGTTTAGTCTGGAGAAGAGAAGGCTGAGAAGAGATTTGATCAACATGTTCAAGTACCTGAGGGGTGATTGTAGGGAGGAGGATGGGGCCAAACTCTTCTCTGTGGTGGCGGTGGCCAGTGACAGGACAGGGGTAACGGGTGCAAGTTGAAACACAGGAAGTTCCATCTCCATGAGAGGAAGAGCTCCTTTCCTGTGAGGGTGACAGAGCCCTGGAACAGGCTGCCCAGAGAGGTTGTGGAGTCTCCTTCTCTGAAGATCTTCAAAACTCGCCCAGATGCCATCCCAAGCCATGTGCTGTAGGTGTCCCTGCTGGAGCAGGGTGGTTGGACTAGATGATCTCTACAGGTCTCTTCCAACCTCAACCATTCTGTGATTCTGTGATTAGTATTTAGCTTTCTGAAACCACTTTGTTGAGGGAACTGTTAATGGTGAAGACATCTGTAAACTTTTGAAAAAAAGAGTGGTTCCATGAAAGGATTTTTGCTTTCCAAAGAGCCTACTGTCTTACACTGTGAGCTGAAATGTCCTCTTGATTCCTCCTCTTCTCCACCTTCAAATGCAGCCTTGGGGTTAACTCACGTTGAATTGTTTTAGGTCGTCCTCAAAATATGAACTGTGGAAAAAAAGCAGAGCACTTGAGCTATTCTCTGTGTGTCTGCATTAATAATCCATCCGTCCTGGCTGCTGCCACAATAAACATCTGTACCAAACACGGTTGCTTCCTGTGACATGCGCGGTGGCTGCTGCCGGAGGCAGGAGGACACTGGCAATGAGAGGCAGCGCCGCGTGGACAGCCGCCCCCAGCGCCAGCAGGGCTGCCTTCTCGTGGGTTGGGTGCAGGGTGTCGCTCATCCCCGCAGGAGATGGGTGGTAGAAAAACCCGTCTTAAAACAGCGCAAGACAGGCTAAGGGAACAGCTCAAAAACGAGACCTCCCTTGGCTGCTTGAAGTGAGGGGCAGCTCTGCTCCAGTATGTACTCATACCTTAATCCCAGCAAGTTTATTCTGTCAGAAGTGTAAGAAATCAGTGCTGCAGGACAACGCAAAAGCAGCGTTACTTACCTCCCCCATGGCTCCCCCTGCCTGCCTGGCCTCCTCCCCACACGGATGGCGAGCGGGGCTGATGGGGACGCAGGTGGTCCCAACAGTGGCTCTGGGAGCCCCGGGCGCTGGTGGCACGTGGGGGTCCTGGCCCTCCTAGGGCGCTGCAGGCAGCTCTGGCTGGAGGGACGTGCCCCAGGGAGCGGCAGCGGCAGCAGCAACTGGGTCAGCCCCCTAGAGCCCTGACGTAGGACACTGCACATGAGCACCGGGAACGCTGATGGCCCCTGCAAGCAGCAGCTGCTCTGGTGCGGTGGTTGCTCCATGAGGGCAGGGCAGGAGGGTGGCCCTTTCCCGGGAGCTACACTGGGCCCTCGGGAAAGCTCCAGGTTGGTCCCTGTGCAGCTCCAGCGTGCACAGTACGAGCGGGCAGCACTTCCTCCTCCACCCTGCCCTGGCTCCTGCTCCTGCAGAGAAGTGAGTCCTGCTGCCACTGGGGTCAACCTCACAGCCCCCGTGTCCTGACTCCAAAGCTTAATTTCTACCTGCAAAAAAAATATGCAAGACTATTGACATATCACTGAAAAATGCTATACTGAATAGGCCCCAGCAGGGGCAAGATGTGGGCCATGCCTGTTCCTTCCCTTAAGTGGCCTAACATCTACATTTTAAAGCAACTCTGGTTTCCTAATCTCAAAATCTCCTTATTTCAAACCTGACGCCTTCAAGACAGATTGTTTTGTACAATTTTGTATCATGAAGGATACATGAAGCATCATGAAGGTCAGTGGTTTGCTCAGAATATGGGGGGAAAAAAAAAAAAAAGGAAAGAAAAAAGAAACAGAACCAGGAAAGTTACGAACAAATTGAAACCATTGTGACGCCCCCTTGGTAACTGTATTAGTTTTACCCTAGTGATGCTATAGTTTTGGTTTGCTGTTTTACAGCATAAGCACAAAAATGCAGTGTACACCCAACCTCTTATCCTGGTTTTAGGTGATGTTTGACTATTCAAACCCTCATCTCCCAGCCAGGCCTCCTCCGGTGATGGTTTTACCATGTTCTTTCCCGGTGATTAATAGCCTTAAAATTAACTAGCATGAGCAGACTGAGACTCAAGAGCAGTTTGAAAAATCAAACACCTATTGACAAGTCTGAGCATTTCTACCTCATAGTCGTCTCTCCAAAGCTTTCAAAAGTAGCTTTTACTTTATTTCACATAATAAATTTATTTCACACGTGTGTATGTACACAGAGTAAATTCACAACACTGAAGATAAGACATTTACACATTCACAGATCTACAGTTTTACACGCGCTGCCCTGTGAAGACCAGGCCCTCGTCTTTGTGGAACGACAGCAGCAGTTCTCAGCAGACCGAACAGCAGGGAGGCACCAGGGCTTTCCAAGGGCACCCCGGCACGTGCGACGGTTCAAGCTGCTTGGCAACAGATGATTTCCTCGAAGGAAGATGCCTCTTGCAGGGTGTTTGCATAAGCTTCGACACATCCTAAGCATCGGCGCTGAGCTGTTTCTCTCTTACCATGCCATCAGCGAGCCTCATGCTGGATTAGATCTCAGTTATCCTTGTAGTAGTTATTAAAATTAATTCGCAGCAGGAAGTCCTCCAAGTGGGGTTGGTATCCTCTATTTACAAGCTTTGTTACCACTGGAAGGAAAGGGAAAAAAAAAGTTTAATTAAGGTTTAGAGACTCAAGCCAGTCATTTCTTGACAGTATCTGTGTATTTTAATTACTATTTTTTAAAAACCCTACTGCAGAAGTCTGAAAACGGCAGAAAGAAAAGCATGTAATTTTGCATGATGAAAGCAGTTCCGTGTCTCTTTCTAAAAAATGAAGTACTGCAAAAAAGATGCTGGATGACGTGTGCCAAGGCTCAGGGGAACTGCCTTCTCCTCACGAGGCCTGCCCTGCCTCCAGGCCGCCTTGGGGACAGGGCGTCGTGTTCACGTGGCGGCAGCTGATCTACGCTTAAATCTGCTGGGATCGAGGAAACCCAAGGGGAATTCCTGGGAAAGAAACCCTGGGAACGAGGCAAGAGCCTGCTCCGAACGGACCATGACCTTCCGCTAAGCTCCTCTCCGGGCGCCCGTGCACGACGCGGCGGCAGCGGCGAGCAGGACGTGCAGGGGAGGGAAGGTGCCCGGAGCCCCCGCGGCCACGGGGCGGCCCTGTGCTGAGGGGTCCCCCCGTGCGGAAGGGCAGCTCTGCGGACGGGACGGCGGTGCCGGCGCGGGGTGAGCGAGCACGGGCGCGGGGTGGTGCTGCACGGCCGCCCCGCGCGGGTCCTTACGGAACGGTCTAGTACGCTCTGTCCGCGAAGCACCCACAGATCTCGTAGTAAGGGCTTAGGTAGCTCCCAGAGGTGTTCTGGCTTCCTGCAGGAGTGGGGAGCAGCCACTCTAACTCATCCTGAAATATTTGTTTTTGGTCCTTTGGCACCATGTTTGGACACCCTTAAAGAATAAAAAGGGCAGCTCATTCCTGAGGAACACAGGCTGACCAGGAGAATAGCGCAGAAAATCTACCTAAGGAAAACAGCTGCAGCTCCTTTGGGTACTGGGACTTCTACATCAAAACAGGAACCACCTTTGCATTCAGGGCAATTTCAAGGCAAGTATAAATTTATTTATTTAGTTATTACTAAAAGCAAAGTCCAAAAGGGAAAAAAAAAAAAAAAAAGGGCAGATCAACTTGTAATTCCTATTACAGGCTAATCTGACAGCCAGAAGAAATTTTGTCATGTTGTAAGACACAAAGAATTTGCCAAATGATCTGTGCAGGTGAAGATCACTTGCCTGGAGCAGAAGCTCTGCATGAGCTCCTACCAGTGCTAGGAGACTCTCTGAACCTTAGTTCAAAATGGGGATCAACATTTGCAAGGCTCGTAATAACAGGAATATTCAAGTAATGCAGATATATAAAAAATAGCTTTCAAGCTGCATCTATTCTTACTGCGTCCAATAATGAGTCCCAAAAGCCAATTCCATTCAAAATGAAAATGGAAGCACGTACCTAGCTAAATATCAAATATTTATTTTGGTCATTTTTCCCTTCTCATTCGCAGACTACATTTAGCAGCAGAACATACCAGCTACACCCACCTCACTACGGCTATGATTGCAAACCCTTCTCAAGGACCCAGGCAGTGCATGTTAGTCCCTGGTGCCCCCTCTCTCAGTCCCCACCCCGGGCGATTTCTCACCTTTGAAGAGGAAGTGGGAATAGTACTTGAAGGTGTTGTAGGACTGCTGCATGAGGGCGAAGTTGGGGTGCACGGCCGTCTGCTTTGCGGCGTCAAAGCCCCACGCCTGCGAGATGAGCTGGCTGCGGAACTTCAGGATGAGGCTGAAGATGCTGTGGATGATGTTCATCACAGGAGCTGCCTTCTCCGTCAACAGGCCTCTGGCAAAAGAAAAAGCTTTAAAAAGTCAGCTGAACCATTTACTGGCTGTAAGAAAGGAAAAGGGGGGTAACCACCCTTCACACTGCAGCCAACTGCGATGGCGATTTCCCAAAAGGTGCCCAGTCTAACACAGCAATGCTAAGAAAACTGACTCTAAGAAGCTGGGTTTTCTTTGTTGTACGTGATTTCTACAATGGGATGACACTTAAAAGTTTCTTCAAACCTGGATGTCCTTTCATCCCATCACTTTGTATCCAGACAGCAGCTTTAGATAAGTTATCCTCATTAAAACTCAAAAGAAAGGCATACAAAAGGACACATTTCTTCTTCATTACCTCTTCTGCCTTCCTCTCCCCATGTCCTTTTGGCTTGTACTACTTAAGAACAAACTGAACAGCTTCAGCTGCTCTGCTCTTCTTCCCAATCCCTCCCTTCCACACACACCTGCTTTCACAGGCACAGACTACCCCATAGGAGAGGCAGAATTCAGTTTTCCACAAAGATATTAGGCCAAAGGACCGGGAAAGCAGCCACTCCGCTGACTTCAGTACGTGGAGCAAAACCGAGAGTGCCGCTTTACCTGAAGATTGCCTTGTTCAGGTATTCAGCGTGTGTCCTGTGGATTTCTTCCAGGTTGCCCACAGAAGACAGTTTGTTTCCAAATTCACACCACGTAACGTGAAGAATCTGATTAGCAATGTAACCTTGAATAACTTTCACAAAATGCTGCATTTCATGTTTATACAGCTGGAGCTGCCGGAACTGAACGGAATTTGATGCACGACTCACTAGAGCTGGAAATAAAACCAGAAACACACCATCATCAGCAGCCACTGAGACTGTCTGCAATCAGAATTTGTAAGTGAATGAAGGTTTCTGTAACTAGCACCTGCTTAAAATGCTGAAGAAGTGTCTTTAATCAAATGTGGGTTTTGAAGCTTCACATGGCTGCTTTAAATGCTATCGTTATAACCAGTTCTCTAGCAGGGGGTGCTAAAAGCTTTTTCAAGTGTGCTCTCTAGTTCACTTATAATTCTTACCAGTGCGTTTTAAGTGAAACCAAACGTCCTTGAGAGTCCACACCATGTGCTTCAGTTGGAGCAAGAAAGAGAAGATCTTGTTGTATTTATTCATGCAGCTCTCGGTAATGACAATATTCAGAGGCCAGTCAACCTACAAGAAATAGCTGTGCTGAACGTTCTACATTCTCCTGTGAGAGGTTATTATTCTAGAATACTTCAGATAAAAGCATTTTATGGACATATTAAAAAATGTATGTTAATACAGTTTAATAATTCCAGGATAAGTAAATCCTATAAACTTAATTACACAGTTCTTGGACTCCATTTTAAAAGGTATTCCGTTATTAAGAACACATTCTCTCTACCGTGGTACACAAGAATCAGAGCATAATTGCAAGACTACTACTTTTCTACCTACTTTCTTACCTTGTATCTTAGCTCTAAGCAACTCAGAGCATCAGGTGCATTGGGCTTGAACACCTCTGGAAGGTACTTCAGCGCAAAAGAAAGATTAGAAGCGAGCTTGGTGTCACCATGAAGACTGTACTGCAAGGCTTTATTCAGGATAGAGTTGAGAACCAGGGGATTCAGCAGCTCACCAGGTGTTTGTCCTGATCCAAGCTGCCCCCAAAAACAAAGAAGAAAGCAAGCTAATTACACAGCATTAATCTAATGGTGTTGATTTTTGAGTGCAGGTGAATGGGATGGTAAAATGGGATGGTAAAGTGGTACCTATTCTTTCTTGCCCACCATTCTCACTCCTGGCCTGGGCAGCAGTTTCTACCTCTGCAGAAGGGATGCCCAAAGAGCACACGATGAAACTTCCCAACTTATTGTTCAGAGTCTCCAGTTTGCTGTGGCTCAGGATCTGTTCCCTGTTCTACAGGGAACACAGCTTTGAAGCTCTGGTGGAGCAGAAAGCCAAGGAGAAAACACCAGCCACAAGAAAAGCCACCTTGCCAGAGACCCAGCACCCCTCGAGGTGCCCTCCCCACTGCAGGATGCCCCACGGGAGAAGGGGCATTTCACAGCACGAGCCGCTGGCCACGGGCTCTTCCACTTGTGCTGCAGGCTGAGGGGAAAGGACGAAACGCCCTTGCACAGCTGGTGATGTGGCAAAGGGACAGGGCAATGGAGCAGGAGCCCTGGGAGCATCATCTCCCAGGAAAGGACGAAATGCCCTTGCACAGCTGGTGATGTGGCAAAATTAGAAGTTACCATCCTCAGTGCAACAAATCCTTGGACTCTCTTCACTGCTAGCATCGGCAATGGGAAATACTGCTCTTCCTCGGGAATTCCTTGGGGATGGGCATCCCTTCTAAGCACTTCTGAGCAAAAATCTCCTTTGCTCCAGTCTTTACAGCCATAACAGAGTTCCTCACTACAAGATTTACTGACATGGCATAAAGCCAGGATGCTAATTCACACCATTCACTCATTTCCACTCATATTAAGCCAGATGTGTCAAGGCAGACAACCAAAAACCCCAAAGGATTAAGAAGCCACAGCAAGTACCTTCTCAAAGAGCAGGTCGCTGAGCGACTGAGCAAACTCCCCGTCTTCCATTAACAGAAAGTGTCTCAGCGCCTCAAAGTGCTTCTCTACGTTCAGTTCCACAAAGTAGTAATCGACTATTGCTTTGTTCACAAGAGACACACTAAAAATAAAAACACGGAGAAGGGATTATTCTTACAAGCCGCTCTTTCTTCCTTGTTAAAATTCAGCCATGTCTACGCCATCGGATTAACTCTCCAGCACTTACTTCTGCAGCTCCAGCTATAAGAGCATCTGACTAAACGTCCCAGTCACTTTGCTGACCCGGGGGCAACCTTTTTTTCAACAGCCTTCTCTCTGCCACCTCCATGAGCAGGTTAGGGAGCTCTTTTAAATCCCTGCTAAGACCAACCTGAAGGATAAAGCTCTTGTGCTAGATACTGAGAGCAGGTCTACACTATAGTTTACAGTAGAGTGTAGGTACCCAAACTAACTTTAAACTAACTTGCATACCAGGAATAGTCTAATTCTGCCAGCACACAACTCAGCCTCATTTGTTTACTCTTTTCCTTTTCTGAATATTGGCCTCTGCACACAAGACAGCTCTGGTAGCTGATTTGGCTGTTTAAAAATGAATTTGATCTTTCTACAGCGCATTAAATTTGAATTATAGCATACTGAGTAAAAAGAAACCTCAAACTTACAAGAAAGAAGATTCTAAACCAGAAAGCATTTCAACACCACTGTGATTAATGGCTTTCTTGACAGAAGCCGATCTTTTATGTAGTCTAGTATTTGTGTATTCTGATATTTACGTATTCCAATTTACCAAAGAAAATGGTTCAATGCATATATAGCTTCCCTTTTTATTCTATTTATTCCAACAATAACAAGAATAACTTCAAAATGCCTCAAAGAAGATGCATTTCCTGCAGGATCACAAAATATGTCCTGACCAACATTTCTACATTCATGAATTTTCACATAATCAAAAGATTTTCTCTCTCATCTCCTTCCCCACACTCCCCCTCAGCCAACCTTCCATCTGCTATTTTACTTCTCATCATCAGGCTTCCCAGATAAAACCAAATATAAACCAGCATAAATAATATAAATAACATACTTTCTTTTAAAAGAACAAGGAAGCTGATGGCAACAAATCCAAATTGCTGCAAAATCCAGAAGTCTAAGAGAAAAGATTTGTCTCCAAGCCCTTATATTTCAAATAGGCCTTCACATTTTTAGTTTACACATAAAAGTTTATGTTACTGCTTATAATGTAAATCTGAGCTTTTCAATTAGTACGGGAGCATCCACTGGCCCACTCCTGGAAACAGAGAGAAAATTTACAGGAACAGATCTGTGCACAAATCTTGTCTCAGAAAAGAACTAATAGCACTGAACAAACTGCTAAATAATGAATATTTCTAGCTGATACTCACTGGGATACAAGGGGAGCAGTAATGGAGCGTTTCATCAGCACGGGCAGAGAGAGGAGCTCACTCAGCTGAACAGCCGTCTCGTCCGTGGCAGACTGTACCGTAGGGTCCACAGGAAAAGTGTATGATCGTGGGATCACATGGTGCAGGAGATGGGACACTGGCAGTTCTGCTGAATTTAAAAATATTTAAATATCGTAAGTTATTGTACTTAAGCCATTTGGTAACCCATTTCTACAAGTATCTCCAAACCCCTCTGGAGTAGGGAATCATGTGTCAAAACGTATTTCACATGTTTATGCCTAGAAAGGGATTATTTGATTGCTACATTTTTGTAACATTAGTGATTCGCTGGTAATTTAGGTATTTCTTCTTGTGCTCAGTTTTCT